CTCTTACAAAGTCGCTCACAAACTCCACCAGCAGGTCCGCCCGTGGGGCTTGGAGAACCCGGAACACCCGCCGGGAAAACCGTCGTTGTGGTTGATGCCCCGGATCAAGGAGATCCCACAGTGGCATGAGTCGACACCACCAAGTTCGACCAGTGCATCACGGGCTTGGAGACGACAAAACCCACACAGCTCTGCACCGAGAAGCTGGACCTATCGGCCCTCAAGAACAAAAGGTGCAACCACGAGAAGCAGGTGTGGACACGTGACGATGGCACCACCTTCCAGGCAGCGCATAACCCAACCGTGCAAAGGTGGGTTGAAGTGGATGGCAAGAGACAGAGAGCATCGAAGTCACAGGGAGAGTACACCCCATTGCTGAGCAAGATCCTAGCCGTGGCATTCCACAGGAACATCGACGACCAGTGGAAGATGGATCAGCTCAGCAAGGAGCTCCTCTGAAGGCCACCCGCAGTCCCCGACGCTTCCTCCCTCAAACCTCCGACATCGAGAGAGGAAGAGAACCGGGCAGCCATTGGAGGGATGCGCAACCCACATCAGGCGGTACAGAGATTGCCGGCAATGAAGAGGCCAGGGGCATTGGTGCGGCAGATCCTCCGGGAAGCCCAGAAGGCATCACCTGAGCTCACCATCGGTCGCGACATACTCACCGGTCGAGTGGCGAGCCCACTCCCGGAAGAGGTCGTGACCGGACTGAGGGTCAAGGTGGCCGAAGCGTTGGGCAGTCCATGCACCCCTCGTCACCGAACCGCCCGGGCAAGCACACCGCTGGAGGCTGACATCATCGAAGCATGGGGGATCGCCACAAAAGATCCCGACACGGCGAATCTTTGCCGGTGGCTCGACCATGGGGCACCTTTGGGGTATAGTGAGCCCATACCCACGGCGGGCATCTTTCCCACAGTGCCCAAAGAGGGCAGCAAGGACATCACCCAACAGGACCTGTGCAGGGCCATCGAAGGCTGGCAGAATTACAAGTCCGCCGAGGAGGAGTCGCGTGACCTAGACACCCTGGTCGAGGACTACGTACAAAGGGGCTTCTGTCACATTGTCGGCAGCATGGCACAGGCAGCACAGGAACTGGGAGGTGAGCCAGTCCTCAACAAACTCGGGGTCATCACAAAGTTCAACCCCCAAGGTGTCAAGAAGAGCCGGATCATCTGGGACCTCAAAGAATCCCGAGCCAACCAGATTTGCCACCAGGGCGAGAGGATCATCCTCCCGCGGCTACTCGACGTGGCGCAACAGGCCATACGAGTCTACAGGGACGGGCAACAACCCTGGTTGGCAGCCGTGGATGTCAAAGATGCCTTCATGAACGCGCCGTCGGGGGCAGACAAGAGATTCACAGTGGCTGCACGGCCCAAGACACAACCCGAAGAGGGCATGGAGATCATCGTCTTCGACACCCTGGTGTTTGGAGCCGGGAGCTCGCCGACGATATGGGGCCGCTTCGCCGCATGGCTCGGAAGGTCATGTGCAGCCATTGTGCCCGACGCAAGCACACAGATCTACGTGGACGACCCGATCTTCGTTTTGGCAGGTGGGCTCGAACAAGCATCCACCGACCTGACCACGCTGATGCTGTGGTTCGCCATCGCAGGTTTCCCCGTTAAACTGTCGAAGGCGGAGGGAGGCAAAGCCATCAACTGGGTCGGAGCGAGGCTCGAGTTGGACGACAAGGCGAACACTGTCACCGTCACCATACCCACAGACAAAGTGGGCAAACTGAAGGAAACCACCGACCAGATGCTCAGAAGGCCGGTGATTGGCAAGAAGCAGCTACGCTCTTACGCAGGCTCCCTCTCATTCGTGGCCGGGTTGGTAACACACCTGCGCCCTTTCCTGTCTTCAATTTGGGCGGCCTTGGGTAGTCGCGTACCAGCGGATGACGGAGATGGGAAACACCGTCCTTCCGGAAAGCTGGTGCACACCCGAAGGATCCGACCAGCCTTGAAATGGATCCAGGCGCTCATAGGTGGAAAGCCGGCTCCCCTGTCCAGAGTGTTGGAGAGCTGCCAGCCAGAAGTCGTGGCCGAGATCACCACCGACGCCAGCCCCTGGGGAATTGGCGGTATTTTGAAGGTGGATGGCAAGGCAACGAAGTATTTTACCAGTGACATCCCCACGGAAGCCCTGAGCAAATTTAAAGCTCAGACGGGATGCTCCAAATTTAACACTTTGTGGGAAGGACTCGCACTGCTAGTAGCCTTCAGGCACTGGTTGCCGGAGCTGAAACACACAGCAGCGGTGAGAGCTCGTTCCGACAACTTAGGCGTGCTGCACATGTTGGCCAAGGGAGGAGCCGCCTCATCCCAACTCAACGTGTTGGCACGTGAATTCGCCCTCGATCAGGCCCTCAGGTCTTACCGCATTCACTGGCTTTGCCACCTCCCAGGAGTGACCAACCTGGAGAACCCAACTTGGCCTTTGGGTGTTTTTTAAACGCCTGGGGTGTTTGTTGGTAGAATGAAACGCCCCAGGTCTTTTCTTCAAGCAAAGATACGCCCCAAGGCTTTTCTTCACGCAAAGATACGCCCCAGGGCTTTTCCTTCAAGCAAAGATACGCACCAGGGTTTTTCCTTCAAGCAAAGATACGCCCCAGGGCTTGTCAAGTTGGAGCGCGCGCGCCAACTTAAGTTTGATATCCGTAACTCGGAAGTTTCCCTCAGAACAACGTTTTCTAACGGGCCCCAGAAAGAAATGTTCTGTTGTTAAGGGCACATGCTTTCTGTGTCAGAAAGGGGTGCAAATTGAGCAGCGTTGCACAAGCAGTTGAAAGTCTTCTTGTTAAGGGCAGTTGTTTTTTGTGTCAGAAACGGATGCAAATTTTGCAGTGTGTCTTTGTGCGTCGTGACTGGCCGGGCCGTCATCGTTTTTAGCGGACATGCAGCAACTGTATATCACATACAGCAGTTCCCAAAAAGAAGTTTGCTGTTCGAGCCAACTGCAGCGCGTGTTATCTTATAAGCTCTATACAGACGGCATATATTTGTATGATATTATGTATAATGTTGTATAATGAGCCTTTGGGCAAGGGCTTTCGACTGTGATTCTGAACTGGACAATCATCGGTGACACGCCTATAGCTACAGCAATAGTTTTCCTGCATGGCACCCTTTGTGCACTGCTGGACTTTGAGGCGCGGGTGCGAAGGAAGACAACTTAATTGATGAATTTTGAATGCGCAAGCCATGCATCGACCTATCTGTTTGTTGCAAGTCACGGCTCAAAGTGACACCAAAGGGCCTTGGTGTGATGACGCATCCAAAGCCAAGCGCGTGGGAGATGAAGGCGCCTTGTGATTTCTACCTTGGTTGAATTTATTTGTCAAAAAAGTGTACGCGTTCGAGGAAACGGGTCGTGTTGAGGCATGGCAACCGCCTGTATGTCTGCCACGACCCGCTCATCATGGAGATCGCCCAGCTGATTCTCGTGCTCGCGCGTGGAAGGTGCTCTGTGAGTTGTGAGTTTGGTTAACGTGCGCCTGAAGCTCTTGACCGAGTCACATGCTCACATATCACACGCATTCACATGCATGCGCACGCAGGACAACTCATGGGATGGCTGGCAACAATGGCAGCAACCAGCTGCAGAGCAGCCAGGGAGTCCAACTTCGGAGGTTGCAAGCGAGGAGAAAAAGGCTGGCCCCATGTGTGCACACACTTTTGTCTGCAGCCAGCCCAGTTGACTGGAGGCAAAGGAGTGCAATCACGATGATGATGGCCATGGGGCCGCAAAAGTCGCGGTCTCATAAGCATTTCGCGTTCATCTTCAGGTTTGGCTTTTGCGATTGAATTGAAGTGACATGGCTTATTGTTCTTCACCCTCGATGTGTCTTTTTGTATTTTGGCCCCAGGTCCATTGCCCAGAGAACGCCAGGACTTCAGTTGCAAGTGTCATGCATGTTCGTGCTTAACGGCGGTTCTTCCTTTTTGGCATCCGGCCCTGAGGTGGTGGATGAAGAGTTCAATGAGCCACAAAGGAAGAAAGCCAAGATCATGCTCCTCACGGCTTTTCAGATGGAGTTTTGGCTGAGATCAAACTAGTCCCTCTCCAAACCTTTTGCATTCCCAGAAATTTTGGCTCACGCTCAGGAGGAGCAATGTCGACAAGCGGAACGTCTTCTGGTGAACCTGGCCCAGAAAGCCAAAGTATTTAAGATGCTGGCTTATGAGAAGCTAGAAGATCTACGAGATCTAGACTAGAGACAGATCTGAACGCGAAGCTCTTCCGCTTGGGTGCCAAATGAACCGCACTGCAATTTGCACACTTGACTTGGTTGCACTCTTCGTGTTTGTCCAAGCTTGCAGTAAGTTGTTGCAGACGTTTGCAGCGAGAATTTTTGTTTCGGGAGGCATGGCGCAGCATCGGGCTTCAAGATCTCTTTTGGTATCTATCCCACCTGGAGGTGAGCCTGATTTTGTTGTTTACCTTAAGAATTTAGTAATTTCATCCATGCCTCAACCTCCCCAGGCCTTCAATCTCTCCGACCTGGTCTGTGACAGCTGATGCACGGTGGAGGCTAGGGAGATTGAAGCTATAGCTGACCTACTAGTGTGATTGTTCTATACCCCTGTGTTCAAGCAGAGGTCGGGTGTTTCTCGGTTTGTGCAGGTCTTCATGGTCTTCGAGGAGTTCGCCCCCTTGCGCAGGTCTACATACGGAAGGCTCGAGATGTTTAAGGTACTGCAGAGAGTTCGCCCTGCCATCCATGCCCTGGCGTAGGTATATGGACGTTGAAGTGGTTCCTGCGCACGCCTGAGGCGTTGTACAAACAATTTGAGCCACGAACAATTCCAATGAGTTGCGGCTTTGTGCAGGAGGATGAAGCGGCGACGCCTTCTTCTACAAGGACTGTGTTTACACACCCAGAGAGTTTTTTGCTCTTGATCTGTTGCCTGTTGATTTCTCTTTGTTTCTTTTGAGCTCATTGTAGCACATTGTCGCTCGAACCCGGCTAGTGCATTGCATGGTTCACGATGGGCCGTTCTCGTGGAACAGTTGAGCGACGTTTAGAAGAAGCTGAAGTTGATGAAGTTGTGGCCAACTTGCAGCATGGCATGACGGACCTCCTCCGAGGGTGCATTAAGGCGGACCCGTCGCAGCTTTTTGGAGAGTGGGCTTCAAAGAGTATCTTGGATCATTTGTGTCCCCAACAAAATTGCTGGATGCTCAAAAGCGTTCTCTCTCTAAATGTTCGCTTCTGAGGCAATCGTCTCAGCAAGGAGAACATTCAAGAGTATCTATGGGCCTTGCAGCCGATTGCGCGGCAATCGCCATCCCAGCCGGTCCACGCAGATTCATTGTTTGAGGTTCTGAATCGGCTCATCCCGGACCAGGCAGAGGGGCGGATCTGGCTTTTGGTGTATGACCTCAAAAGCATCATGCAGCAACTTGGCCACATTGTCTTTTTGGAGTGCGTTTTTGGCAATGGAACGTTGCAGGTCTCTTTTACTGGACGGCTGACACGCAAACCCAGGCACGCTCGGAAAGTGTGGCGGAAAGCTCGAGCTCCGGGAGAGTGGCCGATGTGGGTCCGCTCCAGCCCGGGCACGTTGGAATTGTTCATGACCTATGCGTCCTGCGCCCAGGAATTCGAGGTGGAGACAGATGAAAAAGATCTCGAGGACAGCCAGGCAGCAGACACCAATCAGGAGTCTTCATTGGCTGTGAATTTGTGTCTACTGCAGTTTCCTCAACTTCAACAGCTTAATAAGGGCTTTACTTATCAAAATCACACTAAAGTGGGCAGGAGAAAAGCGCAGAGGAGATTCGAAAGGAGATCATTGATGGCCTGAAAGGAAAGGTGGTTCAGATATTGGATGATGGACCAGGCATGCCCAAGATTCAATTTGTTCACAAAACTGTTTTGCAGCTTGTTGGCGGAGTGCAAACAAAGCATGTGAGTAAAGCGCAGGCGCAGATGATGACAGCATGGATCAAGACCCCGCCGTTCTTTGATTCCAATTCAATGGCTTCATTGGTTACACATTTTTGAGATAGATAGTGTCTCGGGTATTGAGTGTGAGCCTACGTGTGTCAGGTTGGAGCCAGACCTCCGAGCACCAATGCAGTTGCAAAGGCAGCGCTTACCCCAGAACCTTCCTCACTCAAGGAGAAGTGTTTGGGCGCTTTTAAGTGCCTACTTTTAACATCTAAGTTTAAGTTCCTTCATTGGCTACGTGTTTCAGGAGGTCCATGCCATGGTTGAAGAAAATACCGAGCCGGGAGACCCTGCTGGTCTCAGCCCTAGCCATGCGAGAAGTTATACCTTTCTTTCCCTGTGCTTTGCACACTTCACACGTCAGGACAAAAGAAATTGAAGAAGGACTTGAAGCCCCAGTCCAAAGTGGCTGCCAAGAAGGACTCTGGCACCAAAAAGGCCTTTCTCCTCAAGAAACATAAGAGGAAGAGTGCGGCCGGGACAACGCTGGTCTGCGCGATTGTTGATGGCAGCACGCAAAAGCAGCTTTGCCAGCTATCATCCACAGCGGTGCAAAGCGCTGAAGAATGTGAACAGTTGGTCAAAGATTTGGTAGACCATCTCAATCAAGGGAAAAAAACCCTTGATGGTGTAAAGGGAGAGCTGGAAACCCTCAAGGCTTCAGCCTCCACTTAGGTTTGAATTTTGTACAGAACGGGGCGATTCAGCACACGTATATGCTATAGGTGTGGCAAAAGTGTTTGGATGGCAACCTGGGATTGAGAGACATCCAACTACAAAGAAGTTTGACATTGAACAATTCTAGAAGGTTCCCGGAACAAAGTATGTTTTTCTATTCTAAGACCCGTTTCCGGACACCTCAAGAAATAGATTTGCAAATGTCAAGACACATGCGTTGCAGGACGGGCGCTGGCCTCTACATCATTGCCAGCAAAGCGGACAGGGTACGCACTACCTTCGAAGTGCTGTGGAGTTGGTAGAACATTTCAGTCATGGCTTGACATGTGTCTTCAGTTGAAGAGTTTGCTGGTTCTGCATGTTCCGTTTCCAGTTCAATAAAGCCAGCAGGAGGCAACGTGTGCAAAGCAAAGTGCGCAGAGCAAGAAAAAAACATAAAGTAACGCAACACCATTGAAGTTCGTTTTAAAAGACATCAAAGAACAACACACGCAGAGACGAGGTAGGGTCTTATATATCATCCACTGACCATGGCGACGATTGATGCAGCTGTCCTACTGTTCCTGCTCAACGCGCTGTCCTGTCACGAGTTGCAGGAAATCTATGGCCTGACGCGGCTGCAGCTTCCGTGGCAGCTCGTGGAGCTTGTGATTCACGCTTATCTGATCAGACGCATTTGTGTGCCCGAGTTTGACTTCCCTCCAGATCTGGGATGCATTGAGTTTTTCTCAGGCGGCTGGGGGAGCTCTCAAGTGGCCAAGGCTTTTGAAGAGTTGGGATGCAGGGCTCTAGCCTTCGACATTCTTCGCGCCTTGATTTTTGGATTGCCACGAGGTCCAATGCCACAAAAGCAATAATAGGTATCCTGTTTGTTTGCACTCTCGGCCTTTCAACCTTTCTCGTTTAAAGTTTATCGCAACTCCATTTTGTGGTTCTGGGATCCCTATAGTTTGACATCCCGCACGCAATAATCCTTGGTTGAGCTCTATTTTAGGGTGGCCCATCCAAATTGCTTTTTGTTCTAAAAGCAAATGTCTCAGGCAACCCTAGATACGAAGGAAATGCGTGGGAACTTCAAGCGCGGTTTTAAAAAAGATCGGATGGGGGTTTCCAGCCAAGGAAGTGATGCCCATGATCTATCAACGGCTCAGGGCTTGGTGTCTGCCGCTCTGGCCATAATGTGTACTACATCGGGCGCGCTGGTTCATTTTGCGACAGTGTGCACGAGCTTCACCTTCATCAACAGAGGGACACATGGCAGATCGATAGCTTTCCCTTTGGGAAGGTCTGAGTTGGAGTATGTTGCCTTGGGCAGTGCGCTCGCTGCAAGGTCAGCTCTTCTAGCTATGCTGGCTTGGGCGCGTGGCTGCTGTTTTGTTTTGGAACAGCCGCTGCGGAGCATAATGACAGCCCTACCATCGTGGCAGGGTGTCATTGGATTCTTTGAAGAAGCCGGCCATCCCCTGAAAATGAACAGCTTGAACATGGCGGCCTTCAGAGCACCTACTTTGAAACCTACTGCTCTTTACTCGGCTGAAGACCTCCAATGGCTGATGGACATGCCTACACCTCCTAAGGATCAGCGGCCCCCGCTGGACAGTGCGGTTTGGCGAGTGAAGCTCGGCTTTCAATTCGTTTAATAGGACTGAATGGGCATGCGCAAAAAAAGGCCATATGCCATATATGAGCGCTAGCGTCAAGTCTATTGAATTTTTGCATTTGGGGCTTAGGTATACCGACCGTCATGGAGAGAAACGAGTTGCTGGGAAATCTGGCCTCAAGGCTACAGAACTATACACTCCAGAATTTGGCCGCGCTCTTGCTGTGTGGTGGAGTGGCAACGCTCCAATAAAATCCGGGACTGCCAAGCTTCTGTTTTTTCATTTTTGAAATGCATTGATGTCATTGTTCATGGAGAGTCTTGGGCTCCATATTTGGATGCCACGTGGATTGCAGGAGGGAGAGACGGCGGTGGTGCATGCTGCAATCGGCCCAGCTCACCATGGATCAAATCAAGGACGTCTACTCACGCTTTTTACTATTCAAAGGTTGTCACGTCGTTGTCATGGTTCTTGAAACGAGTCCTGCGCAAGAACTGTGATGCTTCACAACCATGCATGCACGCAGGCTGGCATTGTGGCCTACAGTGGCCTCACGCATTTTGATTTTGCAGAGGGAAGTGTTTCAAACGCTTTGAATGAACTTCAGCAGCTGTGGCTGAAAAAGCCTATGGCGGTGTAAGCACCAATTCAACGTCTGTTCGATCCTAATGACACTGCAAGCGGGGAGAAAACACCCGTGGAATATTTGGAGCCTGTTTCATTTTGCAAGAGGTTGAAGAGTAATACAAATTTTAGACGGGATGGGGCGTGACCAGACCGTGACCAACCGTGACCTCGAGAAATGCCCAATATGTAAATTAATAAGGGCCCCCCGTGACCAAGCGTGACCAAGCGTGACCAGGGCCCGGGTCATGGTTGGTCAGGGGGGGTTCAGAAATCGAGGCAATGGTTGGTGACAGTGATCAGTGTTCAGGGTTGGGAAACATATGACACTTCAATTAAACAGGGAAAGAGTGTGCTTGAGCATACCACTTGCAGCCTTTCCTCTTGTTCAAGCCTTCAAACATTTGGCAGAGTTGGCACTTTATGGAGGTCAAAGCGGAGCCTCCGTCCTTTCCCTTGGTTGGAGTTGTGCAAGACCCCTACACGGTTGGAATTGTACAAGATGCGTTTCAACATGGAGACCCAGGCAAGCCTTTTGAATTGAGTTGCGAACTCTCTTTTGGAGATAGATGTATTCAGTGTGCCTGGAGGCCTTGCAGCGTCGAGACCTTCGCTTGCTCCTGAAACTGTTATGCATGTTCCAGGGTCGGCTCCCAAGGACAGGTGTTAATGGCAGAAATTGTTTTGTGGCCAGCGCTCGTGTGCTCACATTTTCTAAGGCAAGCAGTGAACCTGTCCACTGCACTACCACCCATGCAGATGGGAGACACTTTGTTGACCAATGCCACCCAGGGTGATACGCAGGCGATCAAACTTTGTTTTCTCATGTGTGACCTGAATTTTGCATTTTTGGAATGCATCATCTTCCACTTGCGCAGGCGGACCCCACCATGAACTTTGAGCAGAATGTGGAACACCTTTTGGATTCCCAAGCCACGGAGCCCGGTCAGATTTGTGCACCAGCCGAGAGTCAGGAGAGTCAACCTTTGCCACCATCGATGTGTATGGCCACGGCTCTTGTTCACGCACCACTGCACCACCAGGGCGTGCAAACAAGCCCAGTTCCCGCTGCAGCTGCGCTTCAGGCACAGGTGCAACAAACACCAGTGCAGCAGCCGAGCCAAATAGAAGCGTTGAAAGAAGCTTTGACTCAGATGCAGGGCAGTTTGTCCAATCTGAGCTCCTCGGAGGACATGTTGCGCTTCATGCAAGAAGCTATGGCCAATGCGCAGCAAGCTCAGCCAGCCCAGCCAGGGATTGCTCAGCCAGTCCAACCAGAGATTGCTCAGCCAGCCCA